CGTAGTATTATATGATCTTTCTTGAGTAGCCCACGGAAGAATAATGGAGAACAATAAAGAATGATGGGCAAAACACATGAATTAATAAATTGTATGAGAAGAGGTTGGGTTATACCTGAGTGCCTCAACTTCTTTATGTAATAAGTCAGACAGAAAATCTTCTTAGAAACTATGAGAATATGAGACGACCAGCAGAAGTTTGAAGAGAAACTAATGGCAAGATAAGAAACACTTGACTTACTCTCTATCATGGTACCATCAATATTACAACAATCATGAGATTGGATCAATCCAAGCATGTATTTTTCACTTCTCAAGCTGAAATCAACAGTATTACATTTAGTTGGATTTCGTTTAAGACCATTTGAGGCAGACCAATCCTTAACTTCAGCTAAGAAGCCATTCATACGGTAACAATCCGATGCGGAAACTACAAGTCACACTACTGACTTAGCGCGGTAAACGAGTGCGTTCGGCCGGGAATCGAAACCCGGACGACATGGGAGGTGGTTGGCGAGCGTCCTACCGCTGTGACACTAACGCACTACAGTTTTATGCTCAATCTGAATTCCCTTAAAAGAGAGGATAAACTACAATGCCGGGGTTATGTACTTGAGATATCCCACTCAGACGAGTTCATTTTCACGAGGTTTTGAATTTTGAATAGAGCAGAATGTGTGCATTAATTCTCTGACGATTGATGGTCACATTCATGCAAATAAAACTCATTTTGACCCACAAAATCACTGTTTAAAATGATTATGGAACGTTTCCACAGTAATAAAAAATCACAATATGAAGCTAAGTAACTGACGACATGCCAACTTGATTGATGAACAAGGATTTGTTAAGTAACAATTTGCAAATCTGAATAAAGGCTAAAACTAAACATATTTCTCCGGCTGTGAAGCACACAACATTCATGTAAAGATGGCCAAAGAAAGAAAAGTGGCGGTAAATATTTCTTCTGAACCGAAAGGTTTGGCTGACTTCTTCAAGTGGATTCCTATTGCTTCAGTTAAATGTAAAAGACGAGCTCGTAGAGCAAAATTAAGATTAGTCGGAAAGCGATAAATAATTTAAAACGCTTTATTAACATCATCTTTTTGCTCACTATCTACAAGGTGTGCTAAAACAGAACTAGCTACGAATAGGTTTTTTTTTTCCTTGCTTAACCGTACCGGATGATGTTTAGAAATACGGCAATGAACCTGTCTAATTGTACACCAGGTACAAAATAAGGACAAACTACTTAATTTTGCCTCTTCACTGTGTATCTGCCATTTTGACTGTAGCTTCAGATCCAGCTATATTGGACGTACAAATAGGCTGTTTCATTACCTTGTGAAGAGGAAGCACAAAGGTGATGTTAATACAGCATTTCAAGTTGTTAATCGCATTCCTACTAATCTTAATTCTGCTTTACGAGTTTGTCTTCTACATTCAGCTGAAGCCATAGGAACCTAACTAAAGAAGTCAGTCAGAAGAAATTTGTATAGCCACCTTCCTTACCTTAGTCATCGTTATATGAATGTATAAACCGGCCTACTTCGCCTCGCCTCCTCCTAAACCTTCTAAAACGTACATAACACATATTTCTTTTTATTGTCAATAATTTGTATACCATGGCGAAAGCCTGTGACATCGTTCCTCTTAACTTCATGATATCATCACTTCTTTCTGCACCTGGTGACTATTATTCCCTGATGAAATTTGCTTTTTCCTTTGCTTCTTTTTCTGAAATGAAATTACAAAAGACTATTTTGTGACTATAATTTTAATGGTAATAAGTTTAATTTAGATTTGATAACTGGTAAAGGTCTTTGACGTTTGAAATAATGTGTATCGAGTTCAAAGCTCACTGAGGAAAACGGCCACATGCTGGAGATGCAGTTACATCCATCTGAATAATCCGATGCAGGGAGAAATGCATCTCCTAGGGTCCACTGCTAGTTATTATAAGGTAAATTATATCATGTTCACCATTTTAGACATCTTTGAGCAGCCGTGGAAGTCAATTAACACAAAATGTTATACAGTTTACACAAGTCACAGCTTTTAGGAATTTACTGTTGATAAGTAAAAACACAGTTTTTTGTTCAGCGAAGAAATTTCTTTTCAGCGACTTCATTTTCAAGCTGTACAGTCGTATTTATATTATAGAAAAGGTTATTAAGTGGCATCAAATAATTGCTCAGTCAATATACATATATGTGATAAGAATAACGATAATTAAAATGTTATAAGGGGTAGAGTTGAAGTGGATAAATTACAAAATTATTAAAGATTGTTTTATAAGTGAATTGAAATCAAAAGTGTTTTAAAAATGTCAAGTGTTGTCTAAATATTTAAAAAATTAGGAGTACGATTACGATAAAAAGGAAGATGTGAAGTGAAGTGGAAAGAATTCAAGTGCTAAAGCAAAATGAAATAAAAACTAGAAAGAACATTACTATCATCAAGGTAAAGAAAGGGGTTTGACAAAAAGTTTTTGAACACCTAATTTAGGTTTCTGTTCATGTATAGCTAAAGCTTCAGCTATGCACAAGAGAAGAAAACGTAAATTTTTGGAGTGTTTCGACTTTGCCATGTAGATAACCTTGAAGGGTGAACCACGTGGGGCTGAATGACCAGAGTCTAACAGGTGATCACAAATAGACCACTTCACCGTTCTAAGTTCTCCTTTCATTAACCAAACCGGATAGTGTTTAGCTACACGTTTTCGGAGATTACGCTTACAACGTCCAATATAAACAGCTCCACAAGAGCAGGTGAAAGAGTAAATGCACATAGATGTGGACAAAAGCGGTAATCTATCCTTGACACATTGTCTAATTATATTGCGGCTGGTAAAATTTAGATGCAAGTCAGCTGCAGGAAGAGTGCGTTTAATACATTTAGATAAACGATTTTTAATCAATTTCGAAGGGGAACTTTTGGAGTTTTGGAGTGACTTAGAAATATATTTATAAATCACAGCCTAAAGTTATCACTAAGATCTTTTACACTGTCTTCATTTATTCTTTGTGAACATATATTTGAAAACTTTTTGTACTTCTATGTTAATATAGACACGAGATAGTCCCTTCTTGACTCGCCAGTTTTGTTCATTTTGGGATAAGTGTGTTGACTGACACCAGATAAAAGGTATTATATCTTCACAGACTAATAGCCTACTAACGAATTAAAAATCCTCTTGGTTATGTCTCTCAAGTGGTTGTTTTCTGAATATTAAGTTGTATGTAGCATGATGACTGTTGGATAGATGTTACTTGGAACTGTAATTACCGACAGTGACTTCAATAGGTGTTCTGTCAGTGACAGTAACGAATAGACTCCACAGTCAAATGACCTTAAACCAGACAATCAGATCGCTCACCAATGAAAACGGCGAGTTTTTATAATCATCTTTTCAGTTTTCACCCTAATCCTAATTTTTATTGTAAGCCTCACCCAAACCTTCAACCAGGATGAAGCTTTCAACGAAGATTATAAAATACATACATTTGTAGCGTTAAGCAATTTGACCGTGGTGTCGATTCTTTACTGTTCCCGTTCTATCCTTTATGTTAAGTTGTGTAACATGGTCAATAATATTGAGGTAAAGCATTGAATACTAACTGTGCGTTGGTGGCATAGCGGTTAGGACGCTGGCCGACCATGCACACGGTCTGGGGTTCGATCCCCGGCAACCGACGCACTCCTTTACCTCGCTAAGCCAGAAATAATGCTGGTGAAGAGGAAAGGTTGGCCATGTGGCTAGCAACCTCATCCTGTAAAATAAACACTGCTACAGAAACTTCAAGCTACTACCTTGAAGCCCTATGTTCTACTGGGGAACGTGAAGGAGAAGAAAAAATATTGAATGCTAAATAAGGAAGGAAAATCAATCAGCGGGTTTGTGAAGTTGCATAATGTGAGATAATCGAGACATGTGTTATAGGGTCGCATTCTTTATGACTCTCACTTTGCATGCCAGAAGCTCCGGCTTCGTAACACTCACCAGCTACTCACGTGTTTTATAGTGTTCGACTGCCTGCTGATGCACTCCTCAACCTCATTCGGCCGGTAATGAACCCGGTTAAAAACGGAAGGCTGATCGTAAGGCTCCTGGAACTCCACAGCTGAGACATGATGTCTTTTATGTTCCACTCTGAGAATGCGAAGCCATGAAATAAAATAATAGTAATTAAAACAAAGATTAGTTTTCTGAATGCCTTAAATTATTTTAGATCTGTGTGTTTTTTGTAAACAACTCTCTTTGTCTCTCTATCTATCTCTCTCTCCAGTGTTGACACTAATCTTCTGATTAGTTTTCAAATTTTCCTTATATCAAATAACTACAGGACTTTTTCTTAAACATAAAAGCCTTTATTAATAAGTAATGCTAACTATTACAATTGCTACTATGAGATAGGACATTAATTTTGAACCAGTAAAAATAAAATGAATATGCATATATATCAATATGGGAAATATGAAGTATGGATTAACCAATCAGATCGCTTATTCCCAATCTATCTATCTATCTATCTGTCTATCGATTTATATACATACATATATATATATATAGATATATGGAAAAATGAAATCAATAAGGATTTTCTTGTTTTTTCCTGCAAAACAGCATTATAATTTTTCCTTTTCGCCTATCATATCACCAGTGTTTCCATACTCCTTTCTTGAAAGACTAGAGACCACCTTGTCAATAAAACAGAGTTGTGGGGGGGCAGTGGGAAATCAACCAAAAAGGGAGGAGGGGATAAAGAAATCTAACTCTGCTATGTGCATGCTATGTGAAATATATGCATAATAAATATGAAATACGCAGACAAGCATAAAAGGAAATTGTAATAATAATACTAATAATAATAATACTAGTAATAATATTTAATGACATGCAATATCATTCATACACAGAAGAGAACAGAACAGAGTTGAGTTGACTTCAATTTACCACTCAAAAATACACTTGTATACAGAGTCTACTACATTTATTTATTGATTGGGAAGTTTAAATGATCATAAGGGATCAAGGCTACCCTGCCCTAATAACTCTCAAATTATCCTATGATACATCAACTATAAAAAGTTGAGCTAAAAGCTGAGATGTTGTGAAAATAATCGATCCAAGACATTATACAACATTCTATTTTGAATTGATGAAACTATCAACCCTCATGTTTTACTGTCAAAAACACTCATTGACTGGAATACACAAATACATCATATTATTGTTATTATTATTACTATAATACACAACGAAATGTACTCAGAAAAGTATCTACAGTCGACTGATGACGACGGTCAGGTAACAGTTGAGTCGAAATTGTTGTCTAACCAAGAATATACAGCTACTGGTGCAGATAATAATAACAATAACACTGGTGTCTCTTATCCGCCAAATAATGACAGCACAGAGGATAATAGAAATAATAGCAATATTAATAATAATAATGATTTTGTGAGATCTATGGAAGAAGGGGATAAGTGTAGCCTGTCCGTTGGTCTAGTGAAACAAGTGGATTCTGATGATACAGTAAGCTGTTCTATTACTTTTTGGTTATTTAAATAAGTTGTAATTTTATTCATGAGTGCATAAAATGTAGGGCTTGTGACAATATGAACATGGGGCTTCAAGCTAGGGGCTTGAAGTTTCAGTAGCAGTGGAGCTTAGTTTTACGGGATGGGATTGCTAGCCCCATGCCCAACCACCCCTCTTTACCAGTCTCATTACTGGCTTAGTGAGGTTTTAGGAGTGCGTCGGCCATAGATCGAACCCCGAACCACATGAGGCGAGGTTGACGGGAAATCTACCGCTGTGTCACCGACGCACTATTATCAGTTAGCTGTGAAATTTCTCCACAATTTTACTAGACATCTCTCCTATTGACCTTCAAGGTCAAAGTGTCAAGCAGTATTATTTACTAGATGACAGGTGTTTCGAACCCGATGTATTGCTGTTCATAACCATATCATCAATTATAACCACACAATTTCAAAACTTTAGTTTTACGGTTTTCTGTACTCCTTCCCACTCTTAACGGGGGTAGTAAAATTTTCCAGTTATCCAGGACGGTTATTGAATCATTTCTGTTGTACGTGTTCTTCCGTTATCGATCTCTCCCTTTACCTTGTTGTAATAAGATCTCATACTTTCATCTTATCCCATCCTATTGTAAGATTGTGTGTAATTGCATGCGGTGCTTTAGCTGAACTATTCTCAAGATTTCTTATCTAATGATGGTGAAGTAATCTAGATTTTGCGACTTTATTTTGCTCCACTAGTCTGAGTAACCGCGCTGTACTGCTTTGACCTGACAGTCATTGCACAGGGTATTAGGTAAACTAAATGGTTCTGTTTAATTGGCTCCACAGAATCTTTTCACCGATATTAGTTGTTCCTAAGTCAGTTTGTGAGTGGTTACGATGCCACTTTTACGTCTGCATTGTCAAGAATTCTAGGTGAAAACTTTGGAGGTATGTACTTATAACTGGTATTGATTACGAACAATAAATAGTGTCCAAAATGTCGTCACCCTGTTAATAATACTGTTTCACTGTGTGAAATTCATAATAAACAAGTTTATATGGAATTACATTCTAGCATGGTGACCGCTTTTCACACATGTAAACTTGAGTAAAATGGTGTTACTTTTTAGTTTTGGTGGTCATGCGCTTATGCTGTTGAATAAGTTTATGTAACTGGTTTAAGTGTTTATCCAATGTCCTTTGATTTTTTAAGGTTTAATTTATTGATTTTATTTCATGGTAGAATTAACTATGAAAGTGTTATTGTTGTCACCTCAATCAACCCTGCTTAGATCAATCAATATTTTAATTACACTCTCAAATCATTCAATTGGGTATTTAGAAGCAACTGATCGCCTTTTTTGTGTGTATTTCTTTGAGTTCTGATTGAAAAACTTGGCTTCAGATGTTAAATTTCATTTCCTAGCCAAGCCAGGCCGCTACAAACGCAACCAAACATGCTTATTTTCAGAGCTTATTAAAGGGCTAGGTGAGGGTTAGGAGTGACTCAGCTGTGACTTGAACCTAGGCCTTTCGTGTGACTGATGAGAATTTTTATCACTGAACTGCTGACGTATATTAATCACATTATAATTGGATTATTACCGTCAATATTAACACTGCTCGCCTGTGGGTGTTTAAAGTGGAACAGTGGGTGGGGTATCCATATTGCATTGTATTCTTTGACATTACTTTCAACTGGCTCAAAGACTGTCTATAAGCTTTTCTTTCGTCTCCTCATGATCTTCTCCTCGTTACCATCGGACGCCCCAACAAGTCACTCTTATTTTGGTTCCCTCCTGAGAGTCTGGCTGCAGTGTTTTGTCACTTGAAGCTTTCCTGAGATGTTTTTAATAAACTAGTGTCTTATCTTCGTATTTCAATAAAGCTATTATGGAAAATAAGGCCACCTAAAATAATCTCGAAGGCTTTGTGAGTCTTATTACGTTTGCAATGTAAATCATCGTTATTATGCACTGAAATCATGAGTGCTCTTTAAGCACTTGAAGGTGATACGAACATTGGATTTCCATTAAGCTAGTTTGAAGTCTAACCTTGAAGCGGGATTGAATAACTGACCTATCCCAAAGGTTGAATCATTCATTGTATCTTACTTTCCGCATAGAAGACGTATGTCCTTCAGTCAGCTGTCTTCAGCAAGCACTGTCCATCATCAAGTAGTGTGATAAAAATATAGAGATTTATTTATTGTAGCTTGACATCACCCAGTATTTTTGATAGAAGTATGGAATTTCCAGCATGTGATATCGGTAGACCAAATTTAGCAGGCCTACCATTGATATCAGGTGTGCGTCTGCCGGGAATCGGACCTCGGACCATGTGCATGGTCGGCGAGGATCCTAACCGCTATGCCATCGACGCAGTGAATATATATAAATGCCTAAAACGACATCACACAGACATGTACTTTCTGTTTTCAATGCTAACCGTATTCATGGTGTTAATCATGTCTTCTGGTAAGTGATAATTCTTGACTGGATCAATGAAAATGCTTTACAACGGTCTCTGAACAGTCACATTATTTCCGCTTCGTGGATGCAAAGGTTATTAATGAAAAGTTTCCAGTAGAAACTGACTTTATCTTTCATGTGTTTTTTTGTGAAGCTAGGGGACAATCCCCTCTTGTAAACAGGATATCAGGGTACTTAGATGTTCTGTTGCATCCATCAGTTGCCCAAGAAATTATCTTCCTTACTTCTAAGCAGTTTGATACTTCGAAGTTGATTAGTGGCTGGTGACTGGCAGTGGAATCCACTATGTGCGTTTCTTCTTCTTTTGAGACTCCTCATCCGGATATATCTGCATTCCCCAGGGAGTATTAGTGTTCCTATTGAGGCTTGAACCCAGTACCTATAGTTTCAAACGTCAAAGCGCTATCCAATAAACCACTTGGGCCACAGCAGGTACCTCTTTTGCAAAGGGTATTAGTAATAACTTATTTTATGGCCAAAGCGGTCTAGTGTGCGTTGGTGGCATAGTGGTTAGGACGCTCGCCGACCATGCACATGACCCGGGGTTCGATTCCCGGCCGACGCACTATTTTACCTCGCTAAGCCAGAAATAACTCTGGTGAAGAGGAAAGGTTGGGCATGAGGCTAGCAACCTCATCCTGTAAAATAAACACTGCTACAGAAACTTTAAGCCACTAGCTTGAAGCCCTATGTTCTACTGGGGAACGTGAAGGAAATAAAAAAAGTGGTCTAGTGCATAAGGCTATGACGTTTGAAACTACAGGTACTGGGTTCGAGCCTCGATGGGAGCACAATCACTCACCCACTGGGAGACGCAGACGCATACAGATGACGAGTCCCAAAATAAGGCGAATCCATTGCTAGTGGCCATCCACCAATGCACTAATCGTCAAACAATCAGATATCGTAGGATCATCTTCACAAGCAGTTGACATATCAACATGAGGCTAAGTACTTCGGTCCAATCAATCAACGAGAAAGTCTATAATGAAATGAATAATTTGATTATTGATAAATGAGGTGCACTGAAATTATGTTACCGATGTTATGTGCCCTTTTCTGTCTACTAAAGAAGATTCCGGGGTCAAGTGGATACTTTTAGAGATGTTACTTTCACGGAACTTGGTGATGTACTAACAAAAATTCCAATGGCCTTCTGCAAAATGGTACCCGGTTTATGAATTTGAAAGCTGCCTTATTGACATCAATCTTGTGTTCTGTATCCACAAGATGAATGAGATAGAATAGAGCTACGAATATATTTTGTTCGTCCTTTAATTAACCAACCATGCAGGGTGATGTTCGAACATCCACGGATATTACTTTACAAATCGATGTTATTTAAAAAACACTAATAGTGTTATTGACTACTATTCTAAGTTTACAAGCACATATATAATTGTAGAGCCAGAAGAGGAAATTATCGAAAAAGATAGTATTGTTTGCCCAATTATTTTGTCTCATATATCTCCATATTTTCATAGTCATATTTATTGGGCAACCAGTTCGTTGCCCTGACTATTGCTAGCGTTCCCTATGTCAGTTATTCCACCACTCCAATGTTAAGAGCATTTCTGAAAATTCTGTTACCATAAAAAGTCGAAAAATCAACTCACTACACCGTTTTCCTTCTTCCCAGTTAGCTGACTTAGATTGTGAATGAAAAATAGCTCCCAGCCACAAGTGAATACTACGCTTGAATGATTAATATACAAATTTGATGCGCTCATATATTGCGTGTTATAACTTATGTTGTAACAGAAATGCCAGACTCCCAACCACACAGTATCATAAATTCTCCCAAGTAGATTTTGTTCACGTATACATATATTTATGATTTCTGTCTATTGCACTTTTTCTCCTGTGTTAACTAACTATTCACTAGTTTTAATTTAAAAAATGTAGGCCGAGTTTATTCTAACTTGCCTAGTTGAAAAATTTGTCCCCCCCCCCCTGTTTGCTTCAGTATCACAAAAAATGTCAAATTTTAGTAAGATTCTACTGGTATTTGATGGATTCCTTTTAAGAAACACATTTTTATCTTTACTGCACATCTCACTGCGGGGGAAACTTTATTTTCGTTTTCGTTTGCTTTACTTGCTGGTGTTGTACAACATACAGTATAGGGTTTTTCTGATTTCCGAAGTACTGACACGCCAAAGTGATTTGTATTCACACGCACACACACACACAGTCCTGTTGAAGTTCTGTCTATTTCCAATTAGGTTAATGTTGACTGACTGATGCTTATCAGTCAGAGTGAAAGTAACCGCGTCTTGAAGTTTTGTCATTTATAAATTATCTATGACAATCAATTTCTGAAAATATATACAAACTGTAGATTTGAGAGAAAAGTACAAACCTACCTTTCAATGTATTTGATCTCTTTTTCTGCTTATTGTCAAATTGTCAAATTATTTCTAACGAAGCAACACATGTGGTTAAAACATCTTAAAGTACATCCATGAATGAAATCGATTTTCGGGGTATAATTTCCGATGGAAAACCATAGAAT